GTAATTTTTTTTAGAATGCCTTGTAATTTTTTTTAATAGCCAGACATGATGTGCTATGGAAGAGGAAGTCTGTAATGTACCTTCAGTAATGTGTTCATACGGTGTGCAGAAGGGGAAGCTGTATTAGCCTGTTTTGGAGGCTGTAACAGTGTTCCTTAGATTGGGCAATGTATCAACAATCAACAACAGAAACATATTGCTTCCGGTTTTAGAGGTTGGCAAGTTCATGATCTAGGCTGTAGTAGATTCACTGTGTGGTGAGGACCCGTTCCTCATGGATGGCACCTGCTTTATGTCCTTCCATGGTGAAAGGGGCCATGGCACCAGCTTTATGTCCTTCCATGGTGAAAGAGGCAAAGAGGCTTTCTTTGGTCTTTTTTATCAGATCACTAATTCGTTTCTGAGGGCTTAATCTCCTCCCAAAGGGTCCACCTCATAAATCCAGTGCATTGGGGATTAAGTTTCAACACTTATAAAGTTAATTTTGGGGGGACACAATGTTTAATAATGTTTAATAATGTTAATTATGTTAATGTTTAAAAATGTCGATTTTGGGGGGATACATTGAGACCATAGCAGAAATGGTTGATCGTTCTATCATTGTCTCATTCTCTTAATGAGCCTCTGTCTTTGGTCTGTCAACTTTATAAGTGTTTCTCCATTTGTTTTTTCTTTTTCCTTACATGGGACAAGATGTCTGGAGTGGGCCAGAATTGGATATTTCCCTTCTTCCATGTGGAAGGCTAGAGAGGGCTGGAGTTAGTTATTTCCCTTTACCCGGGTCTTGTAGGCTCTGATAATAGTACAACAGGTTAGGCTCTCGTGAAGTAGTTTTTCTTGAAGCCTTATTAAGAAGAACAGAGTGCTCTGGCATATTTCAAAAGAGTTTGCCTCTTCCCCTCTCACAGGTGGAAGCAGGAGGGGAATTTTCTTGAGTATTTCCTTTAGAAACTTGGTGGAGTTCTTGGAGGTGAATTGCACAGTATTTTGGTGTCCCATTTATGACTGGGTTCCCCTGGAGTTTTTAAATCTGAGTTGTTTGCACTGAGCCTCCAGCAATGTGTCACTCACAATTCAGGTTGTCTTGATCCAGCACTGGTTCCCATGGTTGTTCCCACTACTAAGTCTTCTGTAAGCTGTG